TATTTACATTACATAATGCAATGTAAATTTATTTACTTTATTTAATAAATTTATAAATAAATTGATTAATTTATAAATAAATTAATTAATAATTAATTTATGAATTAATTATAAATAAATTAATAAATTTTACAAATAAATTTATTTAATTTATTTACATTACGTAATGTTTATTTATTTACAGAGTGTGTGTGTGCGAGTAGGGGAGAGGGGCAGAGAGAGAGAGAGGGAGAGAGAGAATCCCAAGCAGGCTCAGCACGGAGCCCGACTCAGGGCTGAATCCCATGACTGTGAGATCATGACCTGTGCTGAAATCAAGATTCAGAACTTGACCGACTGATCCACCCAGGTGCCCCTAATGTTTTCGATTTTTAAACATCTTTCCTGAGATATATTTCACATATCATAAAATTCACCCATTTAAAATGTACATATCCGTGGTTTTTCAATATTCACATCATTGTACAACCTTTACCACTGGGACATTTTCGTCACCCCATCCCCAAAACACCTGTCCTCAGTAACAGTCATTCTCCAATCCCTTCTCCACCCCCCAGTCCCTAAAAACCACCGGTCTACTTTCCGTATGTGTTGTTTGGACATTTTATGTAAGTGAAATCCTACCATACAAGTGAAATCATACCATACATGGTCTTCTGTGCCTGCTTTCCTTCACTATACCTATGAGCGGAATTTCTGGGCCATCCAGTGACTCCATGTTTAATCTTTTGACAGCTATCACTTTTCCAAAGTTCTGCATCATTTTACATTCCCACCAGTAATGTAGGAGGGTTTCAATTTCTCCCCAGCCTCGCTGATGGATGCCATTGTCTGCCTTTCTTATTATAGCCATCCTACCGTGTAGGAAGTGGCATCACACAGTTGTGATTATAACTTACATGTCCCTGTTCACTTTGTTTTTTAGCCATTTGGAGAAATATTAGCCATTTCTTTGGAGAAATATCTATTCCCATCACTTGCCCATTTTTAATTTGCGTATTGCTGAACTTATTATTTCTAATAGTTTTATTGGGGAATTCTTAGATTTCTCTAGAAACAAGATCATATAATGAGCAGATAGAGCTCTTCTATCTGTACATCTCCCTTTCCAATCTTGGTGGTTTTTACCTCTTTCCCTTGCCTAATTTCACTGGCTAGAACCTTCAGTGCCATGTTGAATAGAAGCATCTTGTTCTTGATCTTAGGGGCAAAGCACTTAATGTGTCCCCAATAAGTATGATATTGGCTGTGGGACTTTCCCAGGTGACCTCTGTTGGATTTAAGAAGTTCCCTCGACCTGTAGTTTGTTGAGTAAAAGTTTTTATAATAAAAGCATGTTGGATTTTTGTCAAATGATTTTTGCTGTATCTATTGAAATGTTCATCTGATTTTTCCATTATTCTATGAATATGATGCACTGCCCCGACTGATTGTTGGGGTTCCTCGATGTGTAGATTAATTTTGTTCATCAAATTTGAGAAATTTTTGACATTATTTCCTCAAATATTCTTTCTGACCCTTTGACCCTTTGTCTTTCTCTAATCTTTGTGGTATTCCATTATGCATTTGCTGGTACCCTTGATGGGGTCCAACAGGTCTCTGAGGCTCTATTGATTTTTCTTCACTCCATTTTCTTTATGTATAATCTGTATAATCTCTATTGACAGATCTTCAAGTTCACTGATTCTTTATCCTAACAGCTCAAATCTGTATTACGTCCATCTAGTAAATTTTTTATTTCAGTTATTTAGTTTTTGAGTCCAAAATTGCTATTTGAGATGATATAAATAATATAAATCTATTTTTTGCTATATAAATTTTGCTATGGAGTGATGTTTGTATGCCCCAAAATTTAGAAGTTGAAACCCTCACCATAATATGATGGTATCAGAAGGATATTTTCTTGGAAATTAATTGGGTCATAAGAGTGGAGCCCTTAGAATGGGATTGATGCCCTTATAAGGAGAAACGACAGAAAGCTCTCCCCCACCCCTCTCTCTCCCCCCATGTGATGCTACAATGAGAAGATGGCCTATGAACCAGAAAAAGGGTCCTTACCAGATACCCGATCTGCCAGCACGCTGATCTTAGATTTCCCAGGCTCCAGAACTTAAGAAATTAATTATATTCTTACACATTTAGTCTATGGGTATTTTGTTATGGCCGCTTGAACTGACTAAGATAAATCTCTCTTTCTTTATTGACATTCTTTGTTTGGTAAGACCTTGTAGCCACATTTTCCTTTCATTGTTTAGACTCTCTCTGTCTACTAAGTACACATCTGAGCCCCCCAGGGACACTTTCTGTCAACTCTTCTTTTTACGGTAAGTGCGTCATTCTTTCTTACTTCTTTGTATGACACATACTTTTTTATCGAAACCTGAACATTTTAGATAATAACATATCTAGTATTAGACTCCTTCACACACACACACACACACACACACCCCATTATTGTGTTTGTTGCCGATCTTAATTTTCTTCGTTGTAGCTCACTTGTTTAGCAACTTTCCTAAACTAATCTATAGATTCTGTGTATTGAAATATATAGTATATTATAATAATATATATAGGATATATATAGCATTATATATATATAGCATTAGATAGATAGATAGATAGATAGCATTATATATCCTATATATAATATTATGTATTACTATGTATCGTGTATTATTATTATGTATTATTTTATATAGGTTATATAAAGCAACTGACTTCTCTGATAACTTTTTCTTTAAATCCTCATTTTTATTTTTAAAACTGGCTTCATATGGGTCAGACCTGGATCAGTCTAATTTAGTGACCAACCAACGATTACTTCGTTGGAAGATATTTTTCTATGCCTTCTCTGTATGTCTCCTACTTTTGCCAAGTGGGTCAGTATGCGGATACAGGTCTTCAAACATCAGGCGCTTAACAAGACAGCTCTAACTTTCACTTCCTGCTGTGCATACAGTCAAGGTCAGCCAGAGGTGAACTCATGGTACTTACTCTTTCCCGAAGTCTTTGCTGGTCTTTCACACAGCTGTGCATATGCACGCAGCCTTTTAGATCACAAGGACTAGATCAGAGCTTTTCAAGTTCCTTCTCATTATCTAAGCGTCCTTTTAAATGCTGCCCCGGCTCGTGTTTGCCTTCACTAAAATCACAGCCCTAAGCAGGTGAGATGTTGCCAGTAGTCAATAGTTCGCTGTAGTTTTTGTAGTGACCAATACGTTTAAAAACTTAGATGAAATTAGAAAATGCCCCCAAAAAGCAAAACTTTCCAGGGTATATTGAAATAAAATAGACTAACTGAATAGCACTATTATGATGAGAGTAAGTAAACTTACAATGAAAAACTACCACATAAAAATGAAACAATAAAAATTCTAGTTCCAGGAAGCTTTGCCAAAAAGTTCTGCATGTTTTTGAAGGAAGAAATGACATTCTTACACTAACTGTTTTAGGGAATAGCCAAGGCAGCGAAAATCTTTCTAACAAAACTTAAAAAAAAACATTACAAAAGGAAACTCAGACCCATCTGTCATGAACATAGATACAAAACTCCTGAACAAGAAGCAGACTGAATCAAGCGGCAAATAAAAAGGATAATATACTAAGATATATTGAAGTGACCTCAAGAGCAAGGTCTTAGTAATAATATCAAGACTCATTGTAATTTTCCAAATCAATAGAGTAGGTGGGGAAATTCATATAATTAAATCAATGAACACAGAAAACATGTTTATAATGTATCTATTAAGGATGGGGGTCTGGGTGGCTCAGTCGGTTAATCGTGCGACTCTGGATTTCAGCTTGATTTCCACTCAGGTCATGATCTCTCAGTTCGTGAGCTTGAACACTGTCAGTGCAGGCATTCTCTCTCTCTCTCTCTCTCTCTCTCTCTTTCTCTCTCTCTCTCTGTCTCTCTGTGCCCCTCCCCTGTTCTTTCTCTCTCGAAATAATTTTTTTTTTAAAAAGGATGAAAAGTCTTTCTGCAAACTAAGAATGGAACGTAAACGTTAATCTGATAAACGGCATCTGTGAAATACACAAAATGGCAAAAACATCCTCAGTGGCAGAATGTTCGAAGCCTTCCTCCACAGTGGGTTGTGTTAAAATCCTACCTGCTGCCCTTATTAACATACCCACCGTAACCTAGGAGAGAAACAGAAAGAAAAGTATACCGATGGGAAAGTGAAATTAAACCTGCAACTATTTACGGGAGGCATAGCTAGGTGCTAAACTATGTACTAGAGTCTATACATAATTTATTAGAATTAATGGGTATGTTTACAAAGGTTGCGCTCTCTAACCTGCTACAGATACGAAAGTAGAAAAGTAAAAAGGCCAAATTCGAACACATTTTTTACTACCAGCAGCAAAGAGGAAATAAAAATACAGAGAGGTAGCGCTGCCTTTTCCTTTCCTTCTCTTCCTGAACAAATCCGCTCCAAGCCACGGTGCGGAGCCAAGCAAAATAGCTTTCTGCTGGGGCCTGGGGGGGGTGGCCCAGTGCGGAGTCTGGGAACCGAACAGTGGAAGGAAGATATGCGTGCGTGGGAGCCCCACAGGGTCTCAGACCCAAGCAGAGGGGCAGGCCTGCTGTGCAGTGACTCCAAGCAGGGTGAGCAGGGTGATCTCGGGCTGGAGGGGAAGCAGACGGGAAGTCAGAGCCACAGTGGTGAGCGGGCCAAGGAGGGCGCGCCGGCAGGGTGGAAGGTCTGGCCTGTGGCGTCTGAACCTGGACAGGGTGAGCGTCCCCATTCAAGGAAAGGGGGGAGGAGAAATTGATGGGTGACATGTGAGGCTTGGCCAAGGAGGTAAACATCTTCAAGAGAACGAGAGCAGGTTTATGTCTGCAAACAGGTGACCAAAAAGTTGCAAGGGAGGGGCGCCCGGGGGGCGCGTCCGACTTCCGCTCAGGTCGTGATCTGGAGGTTCGTGAGTTCGAGCCCCGCTTCGGGCTCTGTGCTGGCAGCTCGGGGCCTGGAGTCTGCTTTGGATTCTGTGCCTCCCTCTCTCTCTCTCTGCTTCTCTCCTGCTCTCTCTCTCTCTTTCTCTCTCTCTCAAGATTAAACAGTTAAAAAAATTTTTTTTGGATTGCAAGGGAGAAGAAAGCTAGAATTAATGCTATGGTATGAGATCATAATTAGAGTTGTCAGTGTGAGCTAACATTCTTCAAAATATGCAGAAATGTATAGAAGCAAATAGACGTGTACATGCACACACTCACTCATGCACATACACGCCCCTATCGTACATGTACACATATTCGCATAGTGTCCCACTCTACCGCCAGGCCTGGGAGTAGCCGGGCCCCAGCAGCATGATTACATCTAGTGCTGCACACATAGTACATTCTTAACACCATGGTGTGCCAGAAGGAACCAGGCTCCCTGGAGAATGGGCTGATTCTAGATCTGGGACAAAGAAAGTAAAAAAAAAAAAAAAAAAAAAAGTACCTGGAATATCTTGCGATTCTTGAAAACAAACCAAAAAAAGTGCTCAAAAAATGATGTGCAAAAGGACACAGAAACCAAGTTGAAGCACCTCCAGTGGCCAAATCTGGGACCATTGAAACATCAGAATACAACAAACAAATAAATAAAATTGTAATTCATTGGATACAATAGGAAACCAGTAGTCCCCGATAGCTACATACATACCTCCACGCGTAAGGGACGGGTTATACCACACGGTTTGGAAACCCCTCCCCATAAAAAAAAAAAAAAAAACACGTTCATTAATTACAAGGAGTAAACAAGTGTCTTCACAGGAGGGACCCTGGCAGACACTGCATTCATCACTGTGATCCAATTCATCATCTTCAGCAGCAGAACAAATAAAGTTTTTGAGCCTCCGTGTAAGATGTAGGAGAACAGCCCCACCATTGTATTCCTGTGTTAGGGTTCTCCAGAAAACGAACCCGATAGGATATACAGGTCGGCATGGAAGGGGACATTTATCACACGGATTGGCTCACGCAGTTCCGGTCGCCTAGAAGTCCTGCCACCTGCCATGTGCAGGCTGGAGAACCCGGGAAGCCTCTGGTGTCACTCGGCCTGAGGACTAGAAGCCCCGGTGGTTGACGGGGTGGGGGGAAGAAATGAATGTTCAGCTCGAGAAAAGAGAGAGAAACTTTCCCTTCCTTCGGTTTGTTGTCCCATCAGGTCCCCCACGGAAGGGACCATGTCCCCCCACGGATGGGATGGTGGCCCCCCATGGATGGGGCCGTGCCCCCCACGGTGGTGAGGGTGGGTCTCTTTACGGCATCAAATGCTCGTCTCCTGCATGCACCCCCTCACAGACACACCGGGGGATGATGCTTACCAGCTCTCCGGGGTCGCTTCTGTCCAGTTGCCCATCACACTGACCAAACTCAACTCCAAAATCTAATCATGAGGAACAGCAGACAAACCCAAACCAAGAACATTTTGCAAAATAACTGGCCTGTCATCTCCAAAAGTGCCCGGTCCCCCAAAGTCAAATATTGAGGAACTCATCCAGGCTGGGGTAGATTAAAGAGACCCAACAACTAAACATGCTGATTCTGAACTGTATTCCTTTGCTGTGGGATGTCATTGGGACAATCAGAGAAATTCAAATGCAGCCTCAACTAAATATTATTACTGTATCAGTGTTAATGACATGATTTTAATCGCTGTTAGGTAGGAAGACGTCAGCATTCGTAGGAGATGAAGATGAAAATATTTAGAGGAAATGAAGCATTGAATAGTTCAGGAGTTTTAAAAGCCTCGTCCTGTCTCACAACCTGTTTATAATTTTACGATTGCTTTAAACTTTTTTTAAAAAGAGCAAAAGTACCACATGACTTAATATAACATCTTTACAAGTTACGTAGATTCCTGTTACAGACGTGGAAGTCACTGTCATGCAATGTTTGGTACGCCGAAAAATATATGACGTCAGAGAAAGTTACAGGGGAGAGACCCACCTTGTATGCCAGTTCGCCCCCATATTGTCATACAAATGTCATGAAACTGAGCCACCCAGGTGCCCCATAAATGGACAGTTTTTATCACAGTGCAGTGGAGAGACAATAGATTGTGGAATACGATGGGGCGTCACAAAGTAACGAACAAACCGCCACTACACGCAAGAGATGAGACTTACCAGCATCGTCATGAGTGAAAGGAACAAGACACAAAGAATATGTATATATGATTCGTTTTGCATAAGACTCAAGTACTAATCTGTCATGTTAGAAGCCAACACGATGGTTATCTATGGGCAGGAAAGGCATGGGGAAGAGGTCAGAGGGCTTCGAAGGTGTCTGCGCTGTTCAATGTCATCCCATCCTGGATGGAGGAATCGTAGGTTTGTGCCCGTGTGATCAGGCATTCGGCTGTATGCTTATAATGTGTCACTGTGTTTTCCGCTGGCTGTATGGCAAAAGACAAAAAACAAAAAAACTTAAAACATTTTACTGTGAATTCATAATCAGAAATTTATCAAATTAACTGAGTATATCACCTCTTCCCGTAGTTGAATAATTCCAGGCCTGATGTATGAAATTGCTACTCCTGCCAAAGGTTTCAAGAGCATGCTTAGGCATTTCAACGAGCCTCGGAATTGAATTACATTAGCTTCTCTGAAATTCAAAAAACAAATGCTGTTATGGTTTTAAGAGACGAGGGTATCACAAAATTCCACAAAGAATTTGACTTTGCAGCCCCTGAAACCGTGGTATGCATTGCTTTGAACCAATGGAACTCTTCTTCTAGCAAATGTTGATGGAGTCGAACTTTCCAAGGAGAATTTTATGGTACTAACAACTTTCGTAAATGATTTCTGGACTAAAATATTGAATTAGTGTTATTATCCTTCGGTGTGCCATTAGATGTTTAATGAATGTTTTTCACACAGATAACAATGGACACCGTTATCCTGGTAGACATATAAAAGAAACCATTATCTTCCTGCTTTAATATCCTTCTTTGCTTTAGTTCTCTTAAAATCCTTCCAGAAGAAAAATGCCTATTCCTCCTTCCCTTCTTTATGCCTCTCCAGGGCTTACATTAGTTGCTAATTGCAGTATCCTGTTTTATCTACTTGGGCCCATAGAGATCAAAGACCTTTTTTGTGACTTTCCTTCCATAATACCAAACATAAATTGCTATTTATTATCAACATATATAATGTGCCAACATTCAAGGGGAAGTTTCTCTTAGATGAGAAAATTTGCATAAAAATAGATGCTTGCATTTTAATTGTAGGGCATATGGCTACTCTTACCCCTGCCAGAGTTAAAAAATAAAAACAGCAGAATATGAATGTGACAGGAAAAGTGTATCCCGTAAGCTGATGCGCGTTCCACTGTGCCCTGACCTACGATAAACTACGCAATGTCAGAAATTAGTAGTAAGATGAAAATAGTATTATTCTAGCATCAATAGGCCAGACTAACCTTCACGTGGAACCCAAAGACTTGAGGATGTTCTGAATTGCGAGATTCTGGAAAACTTTGCCTTAAATTTCATTGTGCAGCATCTTGAAATCAATTCCGGTGACACCCAGGGAAGACTTACGTTTTCCATGTGCGTTTGTGCCTTCCAGTCGTGCCTGCGTCCTCTCACCCTGCAACCTCCCTTCCCATCGTCAAATGGAATATTTCCTTAAAATCTGAGGTCTCTCTGGTCTGTCAGAACAACTGACAGAAAGGCTGGAAGGTATTTCCACTAAACAGTGTGCGACAAGCTGGTCTAATGAAGTATGGCAGCTTTCGTCATACCTCAGTGACCCTACAAAAGAGTTACCCATTCCTCTTATAGAAACAAATTAGGACCAAAGAGGAAGACGTGTAGGGTATTCCTTGTGGCATTTCCGATGGACAATCATCGGGATTTCTGTGACCCACTAATCCATGGCTGTTAGCTCACCACTTTAAATAGAAACTTTATATTTGTGCTCTTCTTCTCTGCCGTGTCTTTACGTCAGTGAATTTTCAGACTTGGTAAAGTTATAAAAGGAAAGAAAAAATTGCACCTGTGACTAGTTTAGCTCTTTGCAGAATTTCCTTCATTAGTATTCCAGCTGTCTGTGCTTTGAGTAAGAATTCCCCATCCACGCGAAGTGGCTTCTCTATCTGCTTGATCTTCTGGAGATAAAACGTGAATGCCCTGCCAGAGACTGATGATCAGAACTTCAGTGTGAGGTCCATGTGGCTCATGTGTGTCCTAGGCTGGGAAATAATGAGGCTGCTTGTGTTTTCTTTTGTTTTTGTTACTGCTGTTTTAGCACAATTGGATCCAAACAGAAAATGGAGGCCAAAAAAAAAAAAAAAAAAAAAAAAAAAAAAAAAGGAAATGCAGGTCAAAGGTAATTGGAACCTTGTTTTATGAGATGACATACTCTTAAGCCCTTTTCCCAAGCTGGTGTTATTGTTGGGTTTTTTTGTCTGTCTGTTTAGTTAAAAAGCAAAAACAATAGTGAAATAAACATACGGTGGAATTGATTTAAATCGTGTACCCTTTAGTTGAAACTTTGGAAAGAGTCCCCAGGACTCTTTATTTATTAAAGATTTTTTAAATTCCAATACATTGCCCACGAATACAAGTTATTTCATGAACTAATCTTTCCAGAACATGACACTTCTTAGCCATGCCAGATTTTTCAGGCTACCACTAAAGAAATAAAACAAGGGTCAGAACAGAGTAGGCAGAAAAGAAGAAATCTTATGCATCGACATAAAGAATGTCCCAAAGCCAAAGGGCCTGTCTTCCAGCTGGGACTCAGTGTTGCAATCCGAATTTTATCAACACGCTCAGCAATTTTCAGGCTGCCAACAGAGATATTCTGAAAGCAGAAGGAGACCAAAGTGCGCCGGGGAAGAAACGCCAACTCCAAAGTAAAATGGCAGACTGTATCAAGGCACTTCAGCCTCTTGGTTGGTTCTTTTGAGTTTGAGAAAGGGCCGGACAAGCAGGAGCATGCAGTCTCCACTTAAGTGCATGAGATTTGCCACCACAAATTTGACAACTGCGTGCACAGACAGGCAAGAGACTGTCATTATCTGGTAGGTGACCAAGATGAGAAGCCAGACCAGTGTGCCAACGCTTTGGCACCTGTAACGCATACCTGCTTCTCAGCTTTCAAACTCTGTGTTTGTTACTAGGTTTAAAGTAAAAAAGGGACAGAGGGACAGAGAGGGACGGAGATAGAAGGAGACGTGAGCATCTCACCGGCATTTGGTCTGTAGGAAACTTAAAGCTTTGGATGTTACTTCCTACAGCGTCAACTGGGAGGCCCCTAAAAAGAGAAAACAAAAGAAAAAAAAGGTCTTAAATAGATATTAACCATAAACATTTGTTTATGAGCACTTCATATATTGGCCGCCCATCAGTACGATGACCTCAAGTCTTCATAAGAAGAGGTTTTTTTAGGGTATTCAAAAGAAATTTCTATGGTTACTCATGCTACCTTTTTACTATGCCTATTAGATTTTGAATGAGAGCTACTATCTGAATGTATTTAATATGCCTACTGACAAAAATGTTATTGCATGAGAAATTTCAAAGTCAAAATTACTCAGCCAAAAAAAAAAAATCTTTGGGAAATCATCCAAATTATTTCAGATAAATAACAATACAGGCAAAAAAAAATGTTTAATGTAGAACATCTAACAAGAACAAAAAAATAAATGCTATGAACCTGACATTCTAATCCGTAGCTAATTCCCTTGTTTGTTGAGAATTCGCTTTGTGCAAGACCCCGTGAAAAATGTAATGGGTAAAAAAGATGAAGAAAACTTGCTTTTTTGCCCTCAATTAACTCCCATTTTAATAGTTAAGATAAAAGAAATGCACTAGTCACCCTGACCCATGGTAATATACAGCGAGAGCAAGGGGTATCTATTCGCTTCAACATATATGTTCTCCTCAAGGAACAATGTGAACACCCTTCTTAATTTATGTTTAATTACCATTTTTATGGACGTTCTTAAAATGCAAAAAAAAAATAAATTAGAAAAAGTGGCACAATGAATCTTCAATGACCCACTTTCAAACACGTCTGAATTTTTGCCTTTATTCTTTCAGCAATACGCTTCCACTCTTGTTATGGGGGACAGCACATCTAGGCTACATTAAAATAAATCCCCGGCAGAGTCAGTTAAGCATCCAACTTCAGCTGAGGCCATGATCTCACAGTTTGTGAGTTCAAGCCCCATGTTGGGCTCTGTGCTGACGGCTCGGAGCCTGGAGCCTGCTTCGGATTCCAGGGCTGCCTCTCTCTCTGCCCCTCCCCTCTTGCACTCTGTCTCTCTCTGTCTCTCAGAAATGAATAAATGTTTAAAAAAAAAGTTTTAAATAAATAAACCAATCCTAGGCATCAATATATGCTTAGTACCTATTCTCATGTAAGAACATTTTTATAAAAATAAAACCACCATTAATGCATTTAACCAAATTAAAATTTATTTCTTGATATCTTATAATACCCAGTCTGAATTGGGATTTCTTTTTTGTTTTAATATGAAATTTACTGTCAAGTTGGTTTCCGTAAAACACCCAGTGCTCATCCCAACAGGTGCCATTCACTCAAAAATATCTTTTTATTGTTGATTTGCTTGAATTAGGACCTAGGAAGGCCCTTATCTTACACTTTGTTGATGTTTTTTAACCTATAGCAGGTTCCCCTCCCCACCCCCTTTTTTGGACTAGGATTAAACTGTGTGCCCTCAAAACTCCTATTTGAAGCTCTACTCCTCTCTACCTCTCAGAATGTGACTGTGTTTGGAGAGGGAGTCATTACAGAGGTAGTTAAGTTACAATGAGGTCATTGGGGTGGACCTTAATTCAATCTGACTAGTGTCTTTACAAGAAGAGGGGGTTAGCACACGGGCACACAGAAGAAAGACCATGTGAGGACACTGTGAGATGGTGGCCATCACAAGCCAAGGAGACAGGTCTTAGGGGAAACCAAGCCTGCCAAAACTTTGATCTCTGACTTCCGGCTTCCGGAACTGTAAGGAAATAAAGTTGTCTTACTTAGACCATGCTGTGGTATTTTGTTATGTCCCCCACAGCAAATTAATACACCCACATCCTAGATTTAGGATGCTTGTCTATGCCCCAAAGCTTCAGTTAGCTCCTTGTAGATGGATCTGTGATGACTGCCGGGTCACCGCCACTGGTGGCCACTGGTCCACCAAACCCATTGAAGTAGACCTTACCTGAGACCAGCTTGCTCAGTGCTCTCCCTGCCCTCCTGGCCTTCCCAACCTATAGCTTTTCCTGGGGGCGCACTCTCTCAATAAATCACATCCACTGAGCCCTGCAGAGGCAACTTCTTTTAGGGAACTCAGTGTAATGTGGTTGGTGACAGTCGAGGTCCTAAGAAGGGATTCTGGATGGATGGGCTTCTGGACTTGCACGCCTGGCTGCGCGTTGCTAAGGCAGTGACGTTGCTAAGATTGGCACGGCAAGAGGTGTATTCAGAGGACCCCTCAGGTACGTTAAAGTATGAGTGCTGAGGCCTTGGCCTCTGTAAACTGGAACATGACAAACACAGAAGGAGATACACCACCTCCTGCAGTGTCTCCAGGATTTGAAAACAACAACAACAACAACAACAACAACAACAGGGGGATAGTGAGAATTATAAAGACTGCAGATTTGGGTGGATATTCCCAAGTGCCATAGATTCCTTAAAGAGAGAAAATGGCAGGCTCAGATCCATGAATCGCAATGTAGAGCATAATGTGAAGGTCGGTGAACTACTTTGACTCTATGTAAATGGATATTCCCATCCGCAGCCAGAGGCAAACAGCGCTGGAGATCAAGCCTAGGACCTAATTTGAACAATGGAAAACTTCAAAGAAAGCTGCCCCTGCAGTCTCTGATAGCTTCCTTACTTTGCAGCACAATAGAATGTCTAAAGGTTTTACTGCCACAGACCCAGAACTGCTATTTCTCTAAGTAGTTGTTATTCCTTTCCGTGGAAAATGGTATTTCAGTCCCTCATTCGACATAAGGGTGCTCCGAATGTGGATGGAGATGTCACATGCAACAAAGTCAGTCTAAAATTAGGTTTTTTTGTTTTTTTTTAATGCATGTTGATGTAGAATTAGAACTACAGATCAAGTCTGAGGATTTTCAGCTTCAATATTTCACTGTTTTCAAGAACACAATTTCCAGTATCAAGTAGCTTAATATGATATCAAGTGACTTCCATAACCAGGTAAATTTAAAAGCACAATTATGGGTGGGGTGATGGGTACTAAGGAGGGCATTTGTTGGGATGAGCACTGGGTTTTATCTGTAAGTGATGAATCAATAAATTCTACTCCCAAAACCAATATTACACTTTATGTTAACTAACTATAATTTAACAAAAATTTGAAAAAAATAAGAAAGGCATTATTAAACTGGAAAACCCAAAGAAATCTATCCTTTTTTAATTCTTCATAAAAAAACATAAAACTCTGCGTATCAATGGAGAATGAATTTAAAGAACGGAATAATAAAAGGCATAGGAGATACAATGTTATAAACTAAAGTAACAGGAATTGGTGGCCCAGGGAATCCCATTTACAGTTGATATAAGGTAAAATACAGTTCTTCATTCACGCTTTCTTCATTAACCAATTTCGTGTCTAGTATTTTCTTTAGAAATATATACAGAAAAATTGATCATGTCCAATACATTAGGACCCAACCTCAGTAGGAAAGAGAAAGACTAAACATAAATCATAGAAGTCGCAGCATTGAAAGAAAGCACAGATACAACTACCACATTGGCGGTTGTCCATGGTCCTGATTGCACATGGCGGGGAGCAGGGGGGAAGGGAAACAAAGAGGGTACACAACATAGCCCCACCCCAACTGTGTGCTAGAACAACTTAAAATCCCAATACTTATGAAAAGAGTACGTACATTTACTGAAAACATGACAGAACTTAAACTATGATTGCGTATGGAATCCGCTCTGTAAGTTGTACGAGGCAAGTGATTATTCCATTTGTTCTACAAAAGTATAAACTTTATAAATATCACCATCAAGATAAAAAAAAAACAATAAGATAAATGAAAAGTGCAAACTTATGGACTCATGTCCCACTCCCACGTCAGACCGTGTCCCCAGGGCCACCTCATAAATCCACTAGTCAAAAGCACACCCTATATAACAGTGCTCTTCATAGTGTCTTCCAATGGTCACCCCTCCTTAACTTCAATATTTGTGGAACTGTTTAAGATATAGGAGCTTTTTTTCCTTAACAAAATTTATTTTTTCTCATCAAACATTCAAAGTTTCCTCAGGTCTTAATTTGTTCCGTTTTGTGAGAAAGTAAATGTGTTACATTCATGTGACCTTTCTGTAATGACTGTATTGTTCCTTGGGTACACCATCTTCCCCTCATTTCTTGTAGCTATAGGTTACTTACACGTCTCCACATGCTCATGAGTCATGGGGAGGCAAGATAATGCCTAGACATTACGTAATGCATGAGAGCTAAAAGATGGGCACCAAAATCCAAGTCCTAGCTTAGAGTCCAAGAACATAAGACACGAGGAAAGCCTTGAGAAACTAACGCTACCATTTAAATTTTTTTTCAATGTCTTAAAATGAAAGTAATAACACTCAATTTAAAATTTTTAAAACTTTTTTCTTTATTTAAGAGACAGAGACAGTGTGAATGGGTGAGGAACAGAGAGGGAGAGAATCCCCAGCAAGCTCCATGCTGACAGCACAGAGCCCAACACAGGCTTGAACTCGTGAAATCATGAGATCATGACCTGAGCCAAAACCCAGAGTCAGTCACTTAACCAACTGAGCCACCCAGGGGCCCCACAATCACATTCGATTTAAAGGTACAACATTAATTCACTTGGGTGAACTGGCTGTGTGTGCACGTGTGTGTGCGTGTGTGCATGCTTGTGTGTGTGTGCATGCTTGTGTGTGTGTGTGCATGCTTGTGTGTGTGTACGTGCGTGTGCCCATGTGTGCATGCTTTTTTGTGAGTGTGTACATGTGCATGCTTCTGGATGCACATCTGTGTGTGCGTGCACATATGTGCATGCTTGTGTGTGTGTGTGCACGCATGTGTGTGTGTACACATAACTAGGAGACCAAAATACCCTAATGTACTCTAAATGTACAAAAATATTTACGTATGCAAATTTGTGTTGCAGATAATCACCAAATGTTAGGCAGGAAAGCCCCACTAAGAAATTCTTCATTTATGTAATTAAGTTTATAGTTTGTGTGTTTATTTCAAGGTGAACTCCCTTAAGATTCGTTTCCTAATTT